AGGGGAGGCCGTAAAAACACCACCAGAGATAGAATCATTCGTCGCACAATATTCCGACCTTTTTTAGGAGCCCACATGCGTGGTGGAAAGGGAGGTTGGCCATGCGATAGAGGTTGTCCCAGGTAGTAAGGTGCCTAGAGGACGAATCTATAGGATGTCTCCTGCGGAGTTGGATGAGCTCCGCCGCCAGCTCAAGGAGCTCACAGAAAAGGGATGGATTCGGCCTTGTACCTCCCCTTACTGTGCGCCAGTCTTACTTGTCCCTAAGAAGGGAGGAACATTAAGGATGTGCATTGACTATAGGGGCCTCAATGCCATCACCGTTAAGAACGCGGAGCCCCTACCCCTCATCGACGACCTATTGGATACAGTGCAGGGATGTCGGTACTTCACAAAGATAGATCTGAAGTCCGGATACCATCAAATTGCCATTAGACCTGAGGACCATCACAAAACCGCATTTCAGACCAGGTACGGTATGTACGAGTTTTGTGGTGATGCCCTTTGGCCTATGCAATGCACCTGGTACATTCCAGCACGCGATGAATAGGATATTTCATGATTACTTAGACAAGTTTATCGTCGTGTACCTCGACGATATTCTTCTATTTAGTAGGACTGTACAGGAGCACGCTGAGCACTTAAAATAGTGCTAGGTCTCCTAAGACAACACAAGTACAAGGTTAACTTGGAGAAATGTGAGTTCGGTCCCACCAAGATCTTTTACTTGGGTCATGAAATCTCAGCGGATGGATTGAGGCCGGATGATGCTAAGGTGGCCAGCATACGTGACTGGCCCAAACCTCAGACTGTTGCTGAGGTCAGATCGTTTTGGGGGATGGCGGGCTACTATCGTCTGTTTGTAAAAAACTATAGTACTATAGCTTCCCCATTAACAAATCTAACTCGACTTGACACCCTTTGAGAGTGGACTGAAGAGTGTGAGGCGGCCTTCAGGAAACTGAAGTATGCTCTGACCCACTATGAAGTCCTCAAACTTCCTGATCCTGACAAACCCTTTGTTTTGACCACAAACGCTAGCCAATATGGCATAGGCGCGGTCCTTGCGCAAAAGGAGGGGCCCAAGTTGAGACCTAACGAGTACATGAGCAAAAAGATGCCGTCTCATAAACTAGCTAGGTATACCTACGAGCGTGAGCTCTATGCTCTTTACCAAGCGCTGGTTCACTCGAGACACTATCTCCTTGGCAGATTCTTTTATGTGAGATCTGACCATGAGACCCAGCGCTAGATCAAAACGCAACCGGTACTCTCGAACACACTCAAGCGATGGATCCAAGTGATAGACATGTATGACTATCAACTTGATCCAATCAAGGGAGAGTACAACAAGGTAGCTGATGCACTTTCACGTCGGGCAGATTACCTGGACGCGCTAGTGACTGAATTTGGCATATCTAATGATCTAACTTTATCTTTGGTGGAGGCCTACCAGCAAGATGCAGTTATGTCTAAGATCATCCGTAAGTTCAAAGAGAAGGATAAGATAACTTCTGATGAATTTGCAATAGTAGATGGCCTGCTGTTTCTTGAAAAGGCAGGGAATAAGAGACTGTGCGTTCCTGATAGTGAGTCTTTGCATAGTTTAATTTTAGGTATCACGATGCAACTGGACATTTTGGTTATAAAAAGACTTCAGCTAACCTAGTGCAGAAACTTTGGTGGCCCACTATGATGCAAGATGCGAAAAAGTAATTTGAAACCTGCCAGGTTTGCCAAAGGGACAAACCTAGGCCTCAGGCTCCGCTTGGGCTCATCAAGCCCTTGCCGATTCTTGAAGGTCCTGGTCAGAGTGTGTCCATGGACTTCATGGATACTCTTGTGACCAGCCAGTCTGGGAAAAAGCACATCTTCGTGACAGTAGACTGCTTTTCAAGTATGCAAGACTTATCGCTATGCCAGAAACTGCTAAAACTGACTATGTCATCAAGCTGTTTCTAGACAACTGGGTACGCGATTATGGACTCCCTAAAGTTGTAGTAAGTGATAGGGACGTGAGATTTACCAGCAAACTGTGGCAGTCAACAGCTGAGCAAATGGGCACTAAGCTACAAATGATGTCAGGGAACCACCCTGAATCCAATGGTCAGGCATAACAGATGAACAGAGTAGTGCAGCACCTGCTTTGGCATTATATTAAGCCAAGTCAGGATGACTGGGACGAGAAGTTACCTCTCGTCGCCAGCCTGTACAACAACGCTGTGCACAGTACTACTGGAATGACAACTGCACCTTGGTTGGAAGCCCAGAACTGCACTTGACTTTTTGCTACCAGAAAGACAACCCACTGCAGCACCAGGCAGCATATAGTTTGCTGTCAAATACGAACAGATGCTACAGCAGGCCGTCGAACATATTAGAAAATCTCAGGATGCTATGATTGCATCTGAGAATAAGCATAGACGGCCCTCTAACTTTCAGGTAGGTGATAGAGTCTGGGTCAAATCATCTGAACTAGGCCAAGAGTTGGGATTTCACGCAAACTAATGCCGCAGTACTTTGGGCCCTGGGAGATCTCGGATATTGTACGAGGTCAACCAGATGGACCGTCATATGTGATTCGCATTCCTTCACACTTGCGTACTTACCCTGTGTTCCATGCCTCCAAGTTGGCACCTTTCGCTGCCACTGATCAGTTTCCCTCCAGGAGATCAATGCTGCCCACAACCATGGATGGATACGTGGACATTGACGATATCATTGAGCACAAGCTGATGCCTGTGCCCAAACCTCCAGGCAGGGGCCGACCACCAAAGCCACAACTGCAATACCGTGTGCGGACCGGTGGTTCACAAGAGAGGAATTAATGAAGACTGCTCCCCAAGTTATCTCAAGAAAAAGCTGAAAGGGAAGCAGCCTGTTACATAAGTACTACTCAGAGGACTATCGAAGAAAAGGAGGGAATGTGAGGATCTGGGTCCTCGGCAGGCCTAAGGGCCCCCTGTAGCATCTGTGCCCGCCCTAAGTGAAGGCGGGCCTAACAAATTACGAGAGGCCCTCGGCTATCAATTTCGTATTTGGGGTCCAGGCAGTTTCGTCGCGCCAATTGGTTGAGGAAAACACAGGCCGAGCAGCGAGACTTTCGACGGGCTTCCAGGCCTTTCCGAAATGATGCGGGCCCTGGACGAGAATGGCAGCCTCATACACAGACAGTTGGGAGGCCCAACTGAATGAGGCCCAGTAGCTGCAAGAGAGGCGCAGCATCCTGGGGCCTACCGGAAGCTTCTGGGCCCAGGCCAGTCCAGCCAGGCTGCTGAATGAGGTAGGCTCTTTCCATATAGGAAAGAGCTCGCTGCCTGGCCAGGGATTTGGGCACTCGCATGCTGGCGGCAGCGCTGCTAGAGCTGAAGCTCGTGGGCTGCTGCTAGCGCTGAGAGGCGAGGTGCAAGCATGTGCGGTCGTGCAAGGAAGAGGTCGCTGCTGAGGGCAGCGCCATAGCCCAGCCTCCAGAGCTGGTGGGCTTGGATGTACAGTGAGGCGCAGGGGTGGTCTTCGGGTGTACAACAAGGGAAGACGTGGGAGAAAGTCAAGGGAGACAGAGAAGGATGACGATGATGATGATGTGAGCACACATAGCTGGTATTGGCGATGGTTCTGCATGGGCGACATCTTCAAGTACTTCGGAGGCTGCTGACGTCAACAGTTGCATTGTCAATTAGTAGGTTAGTAGTAGCTGTGTAGGGAGTAGGCTGGGCGCCGAGTGCCAAGTAGGGAGATAGGGACTGGATACATATGTTGGTGGTGGCGAGAGCAAGCTCTCATTGACATTGGCTTTCAGTGCTACTATTCTCCATTGGTGTCATATTGGTGCAATGGTACTTTCTGAACACTGTGATACGATCTGGCTTTCAATGTGATTGTGCAATCTGAATATTGTCATCGCGCTATTGCTCATTTCCCTTGCAGAAGGGAGAAGAAGATGAGAGGGAGAAGAATTGGTTCAACTTGTGTAATTCTTCTTCTTCTCTTCTGCTCTTTATCTCTTCTGCTCTTTATCTCTTCTGCTCTTTATCTCTTCACTGCTTCTTTCGAGTTCAGCAAGTGGACTTGGAGAGAGCAATCCACACCAAACCATGTGATGAGAATACACAGCGGAAGCTCACAAGACCAAAATAGAATTGAAGTTAATTCAATTCTTATTATCACCATCTCTCCCCAACTCAATCAGCAACACGAAATTCCCAGGATCCCAACCACGTTACAACATCCACAAACCAATTATTTCCAGAGTTTCACCAAATGAGGGAAGACTTCTTCTACCTTCCAACCTCGAGCCCTAGCTATGACGCCAATGCAACTCCAGTGCCCAACCGTTCCAGCCAACCAATCGCCACACCCAACACGACCCTCTGCAAAACCACAAAGCCCACTGCAGATGAAGTGTCCGCTCAGCACGGGAGCGCAGCTCCCAGGATGGAGAAGAAGAATACCAACTTGATGAAGGAGAATGTGGCCGCCACTTCCAAGAGCACTTCGATGGCGGGCTTCTAGGCAGCGCTGTCAACCCCAACAGAACCAATAAAAGATGGCACCCACAGCCCTGGAGCCCAGCACTGCCTTGAGGAAGCAAGTACAGGCCAGATATGACCGCCAATGCTCAATCAGGAAGAAGATGGTTGCGCTGAAGATAGTGCAGCAACAGCCGAACGCGACCTTTCCCAAACTTCGCGAAAAAAAATCAACCGAAGAACCCGTTCCATCTTGCTTGCTAGCTTTTTCTGGGGTCTACTTCTACAGCCTAGGACAGACCTATGACTGCTACCTACGGCCTCAATGCATCTAGACAGAAAACAGGCCAAATGGGAAAATAAAAAGGCAGCAATAAAAGAAAAACCCCTAACGGCCTACTTCCCTAAGTACCCAACAGCCTACGGACCCAAAAGCAGCAAGCGAAAAGCCCCAGTATGGGACAGGTCCAGGGATCAAGCCCCAGAAGACTTAAAACTAGGGAAAACCACAAAGTAATTAGTGTACAACCCACTAGGAATTGCAATTTATTGCAGCATTGTGGATGTAGTAGGATCGTAACCACAGTCACTATCGTGTCAGCGAACAGTACACACACACACTATAGTCTTGCGATGGGAAGCGCCTGGACAACATTTCAAACTAATCCATTGCCTATAGAACAGAAAGCAAAGCTATATTGTCCGACTGTGGATTACTCACCAATGCAACACATCGAAATAATACAAAATTTTCGCTGAAAGTTGATTTGATAAATGGGTGGACGGAGAAACAACTGATTAAAGACACAGAATATGAAAGCCCGTTCATTTCCGCAAAGTAAAATCCCCACATTTTGGGCTCCCTTGTATACAGAAACCATACCTTTCCGAAGGCGGGCCTTCTCTTTCTTCTTCAGCTCACCACCAATGAGGTAGCCAGGCACCAGCCAATGATACCGCTGAGCTACCACCTGCTTTGCAACATTGTAGATCTGTAGACAAAGCTCCCTTGTTGGTGCTAAGATCAAAGCTAAGCAATCAGTTCACCGTGCAAAGGCCACAGAAGCAGAACAGACACATGCACGGGCGTGTGCACAGGCACACATACGCACATACACGCACACAGACACAAACACACACCAGAGGAGGGCAACAAGCGCACGAAGATCAGGTGCAGGTGCGATGAGAAATGCTTCCACGAAGTTGAACTGAATGCTACGCAAGTTAAAGCACCACTGTTACCTCCAAGCCTGAAGCACCAAGACTTCTTCCCCTTTGGTGCAGACAGCCTATTCAAACTACCGAACCGACCAACCAACCAACCACAGGCGATGGCCTTGATGTACCATTATTGAATTTACCAGGCCCATGTTATTTCATTCAACTCATCACATCACGATTTGAACTCAGGTCCGCATATTAACAGTAGATCCGTATACCATTCAGCCACATGGGTTGGGTCACTTGGGTGAGACATGGTAAGACTTAAGCTCCTTCTTGACAAGACACTTAAAAATCAAGCCAGCAAAATGATAAGAAAAACAAAAAGCGGAACGATGAGAGAACACAACAATGAGAATAATAGCTTAGTAGAATGAAGAAGAACAGCGCAAACACGTACCGAATGTGCCATCGTTTCTTGAAACCCTTCTGCTGTACTCTTGCAGTCCATGGATGATGGGAAGAAGATAAACCAGTGTTTTTCCCGTCCCTGTTTCTGCGTTGACTAATCTGTTTTCGAAACAAGGTAAACAATGTGTGCACAAGGAAAGACAAAACAACTCCCTAGCTGCAACAAGAAAAACAAGGAGAAGCAAGATCATGCGCAAATTCAACAAAATCCCCCTAAAACCAACCACTCATCCCCCACTACCCATCTCTCCATACTCCGCCGACTACTCGTCATCAATCCCCCTCCAGAAAATAACGAGCACACTTTCATCTTGCCCAGACAACAACGGGCCTTTGCAGGAACTACATTGCAGAAAAAATTGAAATAAAAATTGAATTTGGAAATTGCAGAGAAAATGTACCAATTGAAAGGACACCAAACAACGATGAGACAAAACAACAACAACAACAAAGAAGCCAGAAAATTCTCACTAAATTCAATCCATCAAACACTCGTTACAAACAATAGAGAAGAACTCGGAAAGTTATCCCCGGCATCGATGATAAACAGAAGCATCACAGTAGAGGAGGGAGGGGGCCACAGCACCAGGAATTGGAATCAAGTAGATGTGTGACAGAGCACACACGCATGCGCATGCGCACACACACACACATTCCAACACACAGACATGCATGCACGCGAACACACCCACCCCTACACACACGTACGCAGAGAGAGCAAGGGGGGGGAGGGCAAATACAGGAAACGAGGCGTTGTTGAGGCATGTTTTATGGAAAACACAGTATTGGAACAAGTAGAGATACCGAGGCAGGGCATTAAAAAAGAAAAGCAAGTGTATCGCCAAAAAATAGAGAAGGAAAAAGGCCATCACAGGTAGTACACGGGCCTGCAAAACCCTACGTTGCACACCAACACCAACCAACCAATCAGCACAGAAACCACATGCCATGCAAAAAAGTGCCATTCACATGCCAACAAGATCCAAAAACGAAGACCAAGAATTCCTTCCCCCCCCCCCCCCCCCCCCCCCCCCCCCCCCGCCATCCAAATCCCCAGAGAAAGACCCCTCAAACAAACAGCAGACCTCATACTGCAGGACTACTCCAGCTCCAAGAACCCTGACACCAAAAACCAAAAAGCCCACAGGCCAGTTGAAAACTTAATGTAGAAGCCCCAGAATAAAACATCACACCATTAACACAAAAGGAACAAGCACCATGCGAGAACAACGTGAAGCACAAGCAGTTAAGGTATATAGCCAACTTTTCTTCTCTTTGGAGTTTTCATACATTATTGCCAGCTCAGCAAAATCAACAGAGACTGCCAAACAAAGTACAACAATTCCTGGGCAGGCTGAGCTGCATGTCACAACAACAAAGGGTTGATTCAGAAGTTGTGATGTTGCCATCAACCCACAGCAACAACATTGTACGAGGATTTTCCTCCCCCTCCTCTTCCTCCTCCTCCTCCTCCTTGGCATTTGAACAGTCCTCTTGCAAACTCTAACCCATAGTCAACTTTGTAAACTGAACATCGTGAGTTCAACCCTCACTGTTCATTAAAAAAACAAACAAATACAAGGACCATCCTGACAGTCAAGAAACAACAACACTAACTATGATGATGATGATGACATGACAATGATTCTGTTGACAATGACGATGAGGATGGGGATGGGGAAGAAGAAGACAATGATCGATGACAACACTGACGATGATGATGATGATGATGATGATGATGATGATGATGATGATGACGATGATGATGATGACGATGAGGAGGAGGAGGAGGAGGAGGAGGACGAGGACGAGGACGCAGACGAGGACGAGGACGATGATGATGCTGACGATGACGATGACCGATTAAGACGATGATTGTTGACGACACTGGCAATGATTATGACAATGATGATGATGATGTTGATGATGATGATGATGATGATGATGATGATGATGATGATGATGATGATGATGATGATGACAATTAGCGGGAGAAGAAAAAGTCATATCCTGACGTAGGCCTGATGTCCATGTTCAGCCACAATTATCAAGATCTGCCAAAACGCCAACAAGAGAGAGGGTGGTGTGGTGGAAGCCTTTAAGAATAGAAAGAGGAGCAGTGAGTGGACATGAAGCCAACCAGGAGAGAGAGCATAAAACAAGAGATGATGAGATCAGAGGAGATAAGAACTCCTGCATCATGAGTGAGGAGAATCCAACTTAGGGGCTTCGTTTTCATGTATGAATATGTGAAAGATTGCTGAGAATAGAAAAACAAGGCTTGCTGGTGGAACTGGGACCCCGATTGTCGCTCCCCAGAATGGAACAGAAACAAAAAGCCTAAGGTTATGTTATTATGTGAACATAGAAAAACAAGAAGAAAGGGGAGGAGGAGGAAGGATGGACGAAAAGGGGGGGAGGAAGGAGGAGGAGAGAGGGAAGAGGGAGAGAGGGAGAGAGGGAGAGAGGGAGAGAGGGAGGGACGAGGGACGAGGGAGGAAGAAAACAAGGGAAAGAAGCAGGGCACTGTGGTAGGGGGGAAGAAATGAGATTATGCAGCATATGTGTGATTCAGTGTGAATGCACAACACCATCATCATCAATGTTAATATCTAGGAACAACCAATCAGTCACTTTGATGTTTAGCTGAAAGGCGCACACTGCACACTTATCCCATGAATGAAATGGTAATCAAATGGTTTGAGAGTGAGAGTTGAGACTTAATGTCTGTCAATGGGTTGAGGAACGAGGCTGTCTGTCTGTTAACGATAGACACAAAACATTATTATTATCGTTATGATTGGTTGTTTCACTTTCAACAAAACGGAAAACGATGATGTCCAGTCATGACAGCTTCAAATAAAAGCTTGGTTCGGATACACATCCCGTCCAGACAGCAGGAGAGGGATAGCAACTTTTTGCACATGAGTTGGGACTGAAAATCCAAGGACACCTGCATTCAACAGTAACAGACAAAACAGTTGGATTTTGGCACAACCCATCAGTTTAAGTTTCCAACTTCTGAGACAAGCATCTGACTACTGGCAGGATCATCCAGGTAGCGGGTGTGATGAGCGGTCATAAGGAGCAATGGTAAAAGGGAGTAGAGACATCGCGCCAACCAGCTTTGTAAAACGATGTTGAAGCATCGGGGGGGCCATCACAGTCCATTTGATCTCCCAAATGGCTGAGTACTACGGGCATTCCTGAGGTCTCAAATCCCACCTCTACTATGACCTGGACTTCAAAAAACAAAGCAAAATAAAAAACTTTCAAAGTTTCAAAGCACATCAACAATAAACCTTCCTTCCTGTCTGGAAAGGCGCAAAAGAACCTGATCCGATCTGGTCTATGCCATTTCTTCTTTTTTTTCTTTCAATGAGGTTATTTTTCTCCCGTTTCTTAGTCAACAAAAAAGGTAAACGTCAACCCTCCAAGCAGCTTCCAATTCTTACAATGAAATGCACCCATCCTTCAAAATGAAAGGCTTTTCAATTTGCAGACCCCAAATTCGAGTTTCAGGGTCAAGGTCCCCAAGTCAACAGAGGCCGAACAGGCCGAAACGGAAAAAGGTCGCGTCAGGTACACGCCACACAGGTCAAATCAACCGGCACCCGGCCTCGAAGTCCAGTCCCACAGTCCAAATGCAGCAGCGGACCAAGATGAGTCTGGAAGGTACTGGGCCTCAAAATCCCAAAAGCCAACAGGATGCGTGCGACCGGTACCAGTGAAGATCAGGCCCAGGCCAAGTCAAGCGAAGACCAAGAACAGCAAAGGTCCAGTCCCGTCAACATAAAAGACTGGCTCAGCTCCATTCAGACAGATTGTTCACTCGCGAGAAGGCGGAAGCGCTGTTGGCTGCTTGTGCGCTATCGCCAGTTGACCGAGTGCCAGGGAGGCCATACCCACGGTAGTAGTAGTACTATAGCACATGTAGGAAGCCGGATGTATCCAGGGTATGATCCTCATAGTAGAAGAGGTTGAGAGTTCAAGAATGAGCGAGAGAGGGAGACGGTAAGGTTGTGTGATACAAGCGAAGAGAGAAAGGCAGAGAGAGAGAGAGAGAGAGAGAGAGAGAGAGAGAGAGAGAGAGAGAGAGAGAGAGAGAGAGAGAGAGAGAGGGTTACATGAGGAATGAACCAAGTTACATACCTGATTGAAGCTGCTGGCTATTGTGCTGTTGAGCGCTGTGTGACTCGAACTCTAAATTTGTATAATATGATCATTCATTGAAGTTTTCTAAGCTGCACTGATCTGGTCTCTATCTCTGGACTTCAGTGTGGATTTGTGTGTGAACTCTCATGGTGTGTATGTTTGGAGTGTGAATACAAGTGGTTCATCGCAGGTTTATCGCAATGATGATTAGATTAAAAAAATAAGCAAGGGTGGCACGCACAAGTCAAGAAATGCTCCAAAACAATCAAAAATACAAAAATGGAATTATACTATGTATCTGTTTGACGATATATATATATTATTATTATTGTATAGGGTTCAGCCTACTGATGAGTCGGTGAAACTCCAACAAAACAGTTTGTCACAGCCCCTCGTTTGTTGTCCTCTTCTCCCTCCCTCTCTGCCTACGGTTTATCAGGCACCTCTGTTTGACGATGTATACATATACATATACATATATATATCGTCACAAACAGAACTGCCCGGTAAACCGTAGGCATATATATATATATATACTTGAAAGTCACCTCGAGTTTGTGTACAGGACGTGAATCTTTGCCGGAAGTTGTTCCAGGAACATCGAAATGAATACGGGCATGAATCGCCGAATGATACCTTTTGGGGATTAATTTCTGTCTGGGAACAAAATTAGTACGCAGAGCTCATGGAGTTCATGCCCAGGAATGAAATCCATTCCTGGAGTGGAGTGATGTGCAGGAATGAAATAAATTGAACTGTCCGATACCAATCTCCGACGGATTCGTACTGCTCAAGTATGCGATGTTCGCTAATTCTGGTCTCGACTTTGCTCTATATATACGATATATATAATATTATATATATATCGATATATGTATTGATAATATCATCAAAATATCGGATATGTATACATCCAGAAAGCACGAAACGGAAGTGGAATTGGGTTTCTGATCCAGGAACAGATGTGGAACCGGTATGTGATCCAGGAACAGAAGTGGAATCGTTTTCTGGTCGAGGAACAGAATTGGAACGGATTGTAGCTCCCTAAAGCAAAGAATAGAAATGGAATGGTCTTGTGATCCAGGAACCAGTGTATGATCCACGGACAAGAATTGGAACCATTATGTGAACCAGGAACAGAAGTGGAATCGCTTTGTGATATCTAGGAACATAATTGGAATCGCTATGTGATCCAGGAACAGGACTGGGACCGATTGTATACCCCTAAAGCACAAAAGAGAAATGGAATCGATTTGTGATCCAGGAACCATTTTATGTTCCACGAACAAGGATAGGAACCGTTTTGTGATCCAGGAACAGCAGTGGAACCGTTTTGTGATATCCAGGAGCAGAACTGGAACCGTTTATGTAACAGGCAAATGGTACATGGTTCTACAGGAACAAAAGACGAACCTACCTTTATTAAAAAAGAAAATCTTTAACATTTGTTTATTTCGTGGTCATGTTGACATGTACTGTTTATCTCCTCACTCGTTGNGACATGAGGGATGAACCAAGTTACATACCTGATTGAAGCTGCTGGCTATTACGCTGAATGAGCGCTGAGTGACTCGAACTCTAAATTTGTAAAATATCATTTAAATATGATCATTCATTGAAGTTTTCTAAGCTGAGCTAAGGTCTCTCCGTCTTTGGACTTCGATGTGAATCTCTGTGTGAATCCAAGTGGTTCAAAGCAATTGGTATCGGAACCCGCTGCATCCATGGACTTGGGTGTTGGTAAGGCATAACTCCGGCGAGAAGTGAGTTGGGTTTGACCTAGAGGTGAAGGCCGAAGAAGAGGGGGGCTGTTGAGGGAGAGGAAGAGCACGTACCTGCTTGTAAGAAGCTGCATCATGGAGCATCAACAAGGGAACGTTCACTAGCGAAGTTCCTCACCCTCTCAGCTGAAACGGTTTTCACCTTTGCAGTGGCGGATGCCGAACCCAGGGCTCGATCCCTAGACCTCGCTCCCCTGTGTACAGTACCCCTGTGTGTTTGAACCCGTAACCTGTGTCTTAGGAGTTGTTGTCTGCCGTGGGCCAGTGTGTCTGTCGGGTCTTGAACCATAGGCCTGTCGCGTAGGGGTCAAGTTTGGAGCAGAGGTTGTAGCTGTAGTGTTTCCGAAAGGTCAAGGTCGTAGCTGCTACAGTCCTAAAAGGTCGTAGCTGCTACAGTGTCGAAAGGCCAAGTCCACAGACTTCCGGAAGTGGCCTTTCAAATGTTGTCCACAGTAGACCAGAGGCAAGTGGGCAAGTGGTGAGTCCACCCGTGCTGAGTCAGCGGTACCCAGTCCCAGTCTCACCTAGTCCAGTCAGCAAGTACCATGTGGGACTGTGTGCACCATGGGCCCGGTGGAAAGAGGCAGACCAGCGACTTCCAGAAGTATAAATCAAGAGCCAGCGCCCAGCCATTCATTCATTCCTGCGTAAGCCATGCGGGAGCGCTGCTTGAGCGACTTCTGCGAGGTGGTCTGCAGAGTGCCCGAACACGAAGTGCGCTGAAGTAGACAATTAGACATAGCTAGGAGAGGGACAGCGGCCATAGCTGCCATAGCTGATAGGCAAGCGTATGAGTAGCTGATAGGCAAGTGTATGAGTACGAGAGTGTGTGTATGCGTGTGGGATATCCAGGGTGATCCGGAGTGAGTGTGAGCAGTGGTGTTCGACAGAGTGACGAGAGTTGAATTGTACAGGCGCTGATGCGCCATAGCCTGTTGAAGCGAGCTTGCATCTAAACTGTGTTTTCGACTTCCGAATCTTTGAGCTTTGAGTGGGCGCTGTGTGCCAGTGTGACTCACCATCTGTTTGCATGAGTGCGAAGTGAAAAGAAAGCGAGTCTGATTGCATTGAGCAGGTACCCGCTATCTCACGTGTCGTCCTTGCCGCGGCATGCTGAAGTTGGGTGCCATAGCTATAGTTCGCCATCACTGAAGAAGAAGTCCGCCATAGCTGCGCTGGTGGAGGAAGGTGCCGCGTACCTGTAAAGAAGACAACGACGAAGAGAGAGAGAGAGAGAGAGAGAG